AATTAAATGATGCCTATTCCAAAGTGGCAGAACCAAGGGCTTTCGTGTGACTATCACTGTGGTTGCACCTCTGTAGTCCTTTGTTAAATCCTCAGTCTCTCTTGTGATGTACAGGCTGTCCAGTGCTGGAGCCTTCACCACTTTCTAGCCAGTGCTGGATGTGTCATTTTCCCAGGAGAAGCTAATAGTGCATAAATAGAAGATGATAGAATTAAATCTATTCAGGGACATAAAGGGGAACATTAAGAAATTCTGCAGGTGTATCAGTGATAAAAGGTAGGCCAGCAAATGTGTGGGCCCTCTTAGGAAGGAAACTGGAGACCTGGTCACGAAGGGCATGGAGAAAGCTATGGTGCTCAATGACTTCTTTGTCTCAGTCTTCACTGGCAAGGGTTCTAGCCATACTGCCCAAGCTGTGGAAAACAAAAGAACTGAGAGAAGGAAGATCTGCCCCTTTTAAGTGAAGATTGGATTTGAAACCATCTACAGAACCTGAAGGCGCTGGTGATCAATGGAACTTGATGAGATCCATCCACAGGTTCTGAGGGAAATGGCAGATGAATTTGCTAAGCTTGTTATCCATCATATTTGAAAAGTCATGGCAGTCTAGTGAAGTTCCCACTGACCAGAAAAGTGGAAACAAAACTCCCGTTTTCAAGAAGGAAAAAGGAAAAAAGATCCAGGGAACGACAGGCCAGTCGGTCTCACCTGCCTAGCAAGATCATGGAGCAGATCTTTCTGAAGGCCCTACTAAGGCACGTGGAAAATAAAGGTGAGGTGATTGATGATAACCAACATGGCTTCATCGAGGGCAAATCATGTTTGGCAAACTTGGTGGCCTCTTGTGATGGTTACAGCGTCAGTGGATAAAGGAAGAGCAACTAACATCATCTACCCAGAGCTGTGCAAAGCATTTGACACTGCCAAGCATGACATCCTGATCATAAATTGAACAAAAAATAATTAGCAGGTTTGCAGATGACACCAAGCTGAGTGGTGAAGTTGATATAGTGAAGAGAAGGGATGCCATCCAGAGGAACGTAGGCTGGCTTCAGAGTTGGGTTCATGCCAACCTCATGAAGTTCAACAAGGCCAAGTGCAAGGTTCTGCACCTGGGTTGGGGCAAGCCCAAGCATAGATACAGGCTGGATGGAGAATGGCTTGAGAGCAGCCCCGAGGAGAAGGACTTGGGGCTGTCAGTTGATGAAATACTCAATGTGAGCCAGCAATGTGTGCTTGCAGCCCAGGAGATCAATCGTGTCCTGGGTTGCATCAGGAGAATTTGATCAGCAGGGCAAGGGAGGTGATTCAGCCTTCTGCTCTGCTCCTGTGAGACCCCACCTGAGTACTGCATTCAGTTCTGGGGCCCCCAACAGAAGAAGGACATGGAGCTGTTGGAGCAGGTCCAGAGGAGGACCACAAAGATGATCAGAGGGTTGGAGCACCTCTCCTATGAGGACAGGCTGAGAGAGCTGGGGCATTTCAGCCTGGAGAAGAGAAGGTTCTGGGGAGACCTTCTAGTGGCCTTCCAGTACCTAACGTGGCCTACAGGAAAGCTGGGGATGGACTTTTTAGAAGGGCATGAGCAACAGGATGATGGGAAACAGCTTTAAACTGGAAGAGAGTAGATTTAAACTAGATATTGGGAAGAAATTCTTTACTGTGATGGTGGTAAGACACGGGAACGGGTTGCCTAGTGAGGTTGTGGATGCTCCCTCCTTGGAGGTGTTCAAGGAGCAACCTTGGGAGGTGTCCCTGCCTACAGGGAGGCAGGGGGGTTGGAGCTAGGTAATCCTGAAGGTCCCTTCCAACCCAAACTTTTCTATGATTCTGTGATTCTTCCACCAGATTGAGTTTTGTGGTGGCACAAGGACTGTTAAACTCGCTCTGTGAGCACTCTCATGGCTGCACCCTGCCTGCATTTCTGCCTTGTCCTAGTGTACCTGCTTAATGGCAACAGGACTGGTCTGACTAGAAATCTATATGGAAATTTGGGATATAAATGGTTGTTTGTGTCTGCAGTTGTGATGAGTGACTCAGGAGGGAAGAGAAGAGGTAGCATTTACATTTAGGCACAGATTCTTCTGTTGTGGAGCTTGCACGATTTAGCACATGCTTTCCATCAGCAGAATCACACTAACCCAGGAAGAACATCCTTTCTCCAGCTTTTCCCCTCACTTCACCAGCTGCAGGGCGCTGAGAAAGGGATTAACCACTTTTTTCTCCAATCCTGTGACCAAAGGCAGATTGTACTCATTCATTTAATTTTTTCACTGTGCTGGAGTAAGAATGCTGGAGTGCACTTCTTTTCAGGATCAAGATCTTGATAAGAGTGACTTTGATTCTGACAGCCTGCTCTTCTGGCACTCAGTGCTTTGCACCACCTAGGTCTCTGGGCTTTTTATTGCTGGCACCAGAAGACTATACAAGTTCATGTAATCCTTGTTCACAGCCTCTTTTGTGCCCTTCCACTTTTTCTATAGTTAAGATGGACATTGGGTACCTATAATCCCACTTGTGAGGATTGTACTCACAACTACAGTGCCCGTATACATGATTTCACATCCAGGCTGATGTTCACCAGCATAGACCTGGAAAATACTCCCCTGCCTATTCCACAGTTCAGGCTGTGATCTCCTCAGTGTTGTCTTCAGCTAATGGGGACTTGGGGGTAGTAGTTGCATTTGTTCCCAATTGACATCCAGGAGAGCAGCACTGTCCAGTGCCCATTCTATCCCATCAAAGGAAGAAGGTTCCTTACTACTGTGAATAAAGCAGCTTTAAATCTGATCAGTTAAATCCTGCCTAGTCACTGCTGTAACCTAATTGCATAAATTCAGTCTTGAATTACATTGACTCCCACCCAGTGCAAAAGGAAAGAGGGTGAGAAAATGAGAGGAAATAAGGAAGGCTTTCTGTCAATGGCTTCTCATAAGCAAGCATAAAGTCATGGAGATAGAAGAAAGGAACAGATCTGCCTGGTGAAGCTGGGAAATACAAGTTACAAAAGTGTCCCTCCTTCTATATGCTGGAAAGTGAACAAGTTCCCAGTCTTGTTTTGCCTTCTGATTTCTGCATCCAGCTCCTTTGTCAGCACTGTGGTCATGAAGGCTGTCAGTAGAGGCTGGTGGAGGGGACCAGGCTGACCAGGGACCTGGGAGGGGTTTCTCACATTCCAGGGTTACATTTGTTGGATTTGGTGTTTCCTTTACCTCCATAGAAGATTACCACCTGCTTCTGAGCTTCAAATTCCAGCAGGCAAATATGCCTGGGGTTACTGAAGGCAGCACAAACTTTCCTTTTTCTGGTAGATGAGGCTCTGACTCCAGATTTCAACTGCACAACCAAACCACATTCAAGAAGCCATTTCCCCTTGCCAGGCTTTTAATCAGAGTTCTAACATAAAAAACAAAAGCATAGGTTCAGCCTGGAGGTTTTTTTAAAGTGCCTACTCAGCAATAGGCTGAAAATCAAAGCAGTGACTGCCTGGGGTTGCCCACATGTTGGCTGCAGAGTTAACATCTTTCTTTTGAAGCATTAGCCAAACCATGCAGATGAGGTGTCCCTTTGTGCAGGTCTGACGTGCACATTCCAGAGCACAGAGATTAAAACAGCCCATTGACCTCTTACCAAGTAACTGGGAAGGGCCTTATTACATGGGGCTCCCATGTACCACGATGGTCAAGGGCAGCAGCACTCTATGGCCATCACAGCTGTATGTGTGACAATAACTGCCCTGCATTTTGCCAGTCTGAAACACAACATGATTATCATCTCTATAGCCCATTTCCAGAGTGCTCATATCGCTTTGTCTGCTCTGGTTCCTTTTCCCTTTTGTATTCCCTTCTGCTCCCTCTTTTACTCTTAGTTCTTCACCTTCATAAATCAAGAGACCCAACAGTCGTGAAAAAACAAGAGTCCTCTGCTGGGTCCATGGAGAGCTGGCAGTGGGCTAAGGGTCTGAAAGGATAGCATGAGCTCCGCTGCAAAAGCACTGACAAGAGCATGGCAAGCTATGCCTGTTAGGACCGGCCTGTCCACACCAAAAATGCATGCAGCAGATGGGGAGGCGAGGACTACAGACAGGTAAACAGACAGGTAAGTTTCAAGGTGGGTCTTGGCTTCACATCAATGCAAAGCAAGAAGGCGGAGGTGGGGAACAAGGAACTGCTTCAGAACCCACAGGCCTCAGGCAAGACAGAGTAGAGCAATCCAAGAGCACCCTCTGTACGCAGCTACATTTGCTACATTCACACAGTGCTACTGTGAAAGCATGGTAACATCACTTTTGGACTGCACAGCTCACAAATGTATTTCTTTTTTGTTACTAAGGTCACGTAATGTTACCATTTGTGTTGTACTGCTTTAAAGCAGGTGTTGCTTTCTAACACATACCAGCTGTAATCATGCACAGGGTTAACCTTTAGAACATGTATATGCGTATACATATTACACATGTATAGGCATAGTGCTTAGGCTTCGGTTACTAGCCGAGTAAAAACAACCTCTAGTACTTATCTGTACTATCTTATAAATTAATTCTATCCAATCATGAAGTCTTGTATTCATTATCTCCCCTTCAATCTGCATATATCTTATCCATGGTTTACTCTCAAACTGACTGCTCTTACTGTCTTTGTTTCAAAACCTTTCCCTGTTTTTTATCTTCCTAGATTTCTTACCACCTTAAAGCGTACTGATGAATCAAAAATACTATTTTTGGTAAGCTCCCTCTTATCATGTTGGAGCCCTTTAGGGGACCACCTTGGAAGAAAAACCATGAAGACCTATTTCAGCAGTTGATTATGAAGTTTTTTTTAAATTCTTTTTCCAAAGCTTTAGCAAAAGACTGCTGGAGGGCTATCTGATCTATTTATCTAGTTTATGCTGACATAACTGGAAGAAATTTTTAATTTCTTCCATTCTTTGCTGGATATTTTCTAATTTTATGAGTATTTCGTAGATATAGGGAACTTCAATTACTGCAAAACAAAACACGCAATTGCAAGAAAAAGTAATTTAATCCTTAATCAGTTTGATCTCTTGTTATAAATACACTCAACAGACACATTTTGCCCTCCAAGCTCTTCCTGTACTATCCTTAATTTGAATCACATCATGTCTCACCCTTGTCCCATTACACATGAAATACTGATTAAAAGGAGTATTTTTCCAAGTTAGTTCCCACAATGCCCTCTCAGCATAGAGCAGTCCATTCAACTGCTGAACACCTTCTGTTCCACAGAAGTTCACAAGCAGAAGAAACGTCTTCAGTAGGAAAGGAAACTTCCTGTTGCAGCACCACTGGTAATGCCAGCAGAGTTTCAGTTCTGTCATTTCACACCAGCAGAAATGTTGATCCTACCTTTGCTTTTGCTGTGGCACAATGTAATGACAGGAGTTTTCAAAGGTTTACATTAACCGTCTGAGATGGCAGATACTCTTGTAAGTCATTTTGCACTTAACATCTAGTACAAATTTGCCTGATGTTACACATTATCAAATCCATTTACTGAAGTGATTTCTTCAAGCTCTACATCTCAACAGTGAATAGCAAAGACACTACATACAGCAGTGAGATCAGCCCACATGAGGAGATTCTAAAAGAGGAAAAATAAATGAAGAGGCAAGTATCAAAATATTACTCTAATCTCAAAACAGAAAAAAAAAAAATCCCGTTCATCTGAAAAGGAAAACAAATTGACTGGAGTCCTCAGCTTGGTATGAGACAAATCCTGCTGCAGCAAGGCACAATTGTACAAACACTAAACCATAAACTAAAACAAAGGTGGAAATGGACCTGTTCATCAGGAAGAAAAGATTCACAAGCGATCTCTTTACAAGGTGTCCAATCAATGAAATAGCAAATGATCTAATGAGTGTGTTATAATAGATTTCAGACTTAAATAAACTTAAGGTAATTTATAAAGTACACTAAGACAGATGGTCTCTCACTGCAGACATCTTCTTTTCAATTCCTTAGTCCTGGCTTACACATAAACTGATTCCATATACGGTCTGCTAATGTGATTTCTTGAGGAAGTGCAGCAGACTGAGAAGACAAAGAGCATGAAGCACTTGAAAACCATCCACAGAACAGCCAGCCAGAATTTGTGTGCAGCACATAGGATGTTCAGTGAGCATTTAAGCTTGTCTGCTTTCTTCTGTTGAACCATTTGATGAGATTGTCCAGGCACTGATGGCATCTTGGCCTCCTCCACTGCTGGGTCTGCACTGACATGTTGTTTTTCCTGGAGTCCAAATATGAAGCCGATAGGTTGGAGATGGCTGATCAAATTGGATAGTCTCGTCTGGACTTTAAAGATGTCACAGCACACAGATCACTCAATACTTAAGCAATGGTAAACAAGCACTGTTAAAACCTGTTTCACTTGGCCTTACTAGCAGAATTTGAAGAAATTGTATTATTAACTGTTAAAAAAAAATCAGGTTTGCAACAAGCTACATAATTATGAAAGCAAAGCTTATTGGAACAAATAAAACACTTGTAAAGTGTTATTAATTAAAAGACCTACAACCCTTCCAGACAGAAACGATGGAGGAATTCCCAGCAGAATGCCACATCATCCAAACGTGAAATTTCCATGCCTCTGTCAAACATCTGGAAATACTCCTGACTTGTATTCAAAATAAGAACGTATCTGGAGACTGTTTGAAATGGAAGGCTGTTTGAGATCTCAGGATAATCATTTCAACAGCCTCCAAAGTTTGCAGGGAAATGAGTACCGTAATTAAACTATGAGACATTTCATAACTGTGAATGTTTAAATGTGGATAAATATCTATACAGTCAAGGAATATAAAATCTAAGCTGGATATCATCTCTGTGAGATGATATTTTGTAAAAATGTCCTTCACAGTAAATTTGCAAGTATAAAGAATAATGCAAAGACCAGCCTTCCCAGGGAGACAGAGGAAATTTTACCATCACGTCGGTTCAGGAAACTCTTCTGATGACATTTGGTTTTAAGTGAGAGGTTTGTTGCCCTGATCCCACTGCTACTCTGAATTAAAAACAAAAACAGCAGAGAGCCCACTCTGCCTCTATGAATACAAAAATGACCGATCTCTATTTGAACACAGCAAAAACTTACCTGCTTCACCAAATCCAAAAACACTGGCTACAGATCACACAACCTTAAACATCTCAGGTAACAAATTCAAAACAAGATGTCCATTAGCACCAAAAACGTCAGGTTTCGGAGGTTGGATTTGGTACTGGGCACAGTGAGATGACTCAGTGATCTGTAGCTGTCAGGAAGCAGGATGAGTATAGCATTCAGCTTCAGCTAGGAAGCAGCAGAGCAAAGCTACCAAAACATACTTCATTTCAGCCTAAACCACAAAGGTTTGCCCTGGTTAGAATTGTATGGGTATATAAAAAATATCAGCAGAAATTATTACCGTGCTTTTAGAGTCAGAACCTCTCCTTACAAGTCCTTCCTCCCTCTAAGCAAAAGAAAGACGGGAATCCTTCGCTTTCCACCACTTTTTGCACTCTTACACTGCAGGAGTGCACCCACAAATAATGCAGAAGTCTCTTCAGTGAGAGAATTCCTTTAACAGATAACACACTCACCAGGGTCAATTCTAGCCTGCAAAGAAAAGGCTCATGTCCTCTCATGCTCTGCCTTCGCATTCTCTTCTCCCTATCTAACTAAAAAGAAAAAGAAAGAAAAAAAAAAAAAAAACATTCCTACCTTGCAAAACAAGGACAAAATTTTCATTTCTGCTTCCTACTTAATCAGATTCTTAAACTTAACAGACAATAAGGTGAAAGTGGTAATGGACACAGATATTTTTACAGGGTCATTCTGATCTACACTGTCCCCAAATAAATTTGATCCCCTACACGCTTTCCACATGACGTGTCTGAGTGTGATTTGTAAACTCTGAAGTTCTCAGGAAGGGCTCATCCAAAGCAGCACTCAGAGGAAAGTACATTTGGAGGGTAGTCCATCTTGCTCCAGAAGACAATATCCTTGGGCAATAGTTTAGTAACTCATGTCAGATACTGCACGATGAGAAACATAATTACACAAGTCACAATCATTCCCCCAATCATCAAGTATTTATCTTGAAAGGCTCGCTTCTCAATCAGCCGCATTACTGTATTGGATAAGCCCAACGTGTTGGCAACATCCAGGATCTTCTTTTGAGTTCCCTAAGAACAAGAAACAATAACCTTAATGGCACAATCTTTATTGTATGAAATATTTTATCACAGATGGTACGTGATTAATTCTTATCCCTAAGAAAACAATGTAACTTGCTCTAAGTCAACAGTGTAAGAGATAGCCATGGGATCCTGGCAATGATGGTATGACTAATTCATACACAAGAACAGGAAAGAGGTTAAAGATAGAAAGACAGAACCATCACAGACAGCAGCTCAAGAGAAAATCACTCCGTCTGGAGCAATTAGACATTTTTCTGGTCTACTTTCAGACAGTCTAAGAGCTTGAAGCTTCTTGACAACCATTCTTGAAGAACTCTCCTCCTGCTAAAGTACAGTTTATCAACAAGTTCGAAAGGAGGTCCAGAAACTTGTAATGCCAGTGGTGATGGGCAATGTAAAGATATATAAAAGTGCAATGAATGGAATTTCAAGAAATCCCTCCAGAGAAAAGCACTGAACAAGACTGCTAGCAGGTATGCTGCAGACAGGTCCAATCTCAGTTTCGTTTCACTGATGAAGCAGTTGGTATTATTACGAATGTCTGTGGATCCCAAGAGTTACCAGATCAGTGCTAAGCATGTAACAGAGCTGCACAACAGGAAGTAATAGGAAATGCCCCAAGAGTCACTATGTAGTGCAGCACTAATACTGCTACTTTATTTAGGGGAAACTGTCCAAAGAAACCTCTACAAAACACAGGCCCACAGATGTGCTCTGGGCACAGCTCAAAGCTGGATATCATCCTGTCTGAGAAGAAGGGAAAGAACTCGTGGCTGCAATCACAATGGTACAGGTAGGTGAAAAGCACCATTCTAGACAAGCTAGATAAGGGGAAGTCAGTTTTTCCAGGAGAGACTTCACAACCCTCCTAGCACTAGTAACCTATCCTTCTTTGCCTTTTCATTCACCTCTGCTTCATGAGATGGTAACAGAACCCCTCTCTCTATCCACTACTCCTATGGTAAATTCAGCTACAATAAAACCTTTTGAATGAATACTTAACCTAACCCATCAAATTTTTTCTAGTAATTGACTTTGTATAAAAATAAATATCTATTCCACATGTCAGTAAACAAACAACCTTAACCATGAAGCTATTCTTCGTCTCTGAGAGGAAAGATCCGAACTGTGCCTACAGTTCAGTACCTGTTTTTATGTGGCAAGACTGCCTTTAAAGCCAGTGGAGCATTAGTCTATACAATGCACGGAGTTATGAGGTGTGATTTGTCTGATGACAAGGAAGGACTTGTGTTAGCAATTAAAAATGCCTAAATCCTCTGGCAAATACATCCCAAAACAAAATAAAAAAGCAGCAGTAATTGTTACCCCCTCGTAAGATGAATACAACAGTGACAGGAATTCCCCTTTTCAGAAATCCAGCTCCATCCTCCTCAACACACAGCTTCTTATTATAAAGTTTCTTTTATACTTTTGAACTTTTAACCCAAAACTTAACATCACTTCATTCTTCAAAAGAGAAGTTATTAGAAGACTTAAAGCAAACCAGCTTTTTGAACAGTATTTGGGGGAAGACATACTGTTGATGTACATTAGACTTACTATCTTTATTAGTAATTTTAAATACTTTCTCTCAGCACTGTGGTTGTTCTAAGTGATGTTTATCTGTAGCAAAAAAAGAACTACCTGTGAGCTAAACATTACTTTCCATTCTTCACTTGGAAAAAAAATAAAACAAATAAATAACAGAAGAAAAAATAACATTCAGTGCTCTAGATACTGACTGTGTGATGACTGCTACCCTACCAGGTCACAAAAATGGATTTTAAGTATGTTCCTAGTAAAATGGCAGCATATTAAGATTTTAAACTTAGCTAAATTGGAGTTTAGGTCTTTACCAGTGTTCTTAGCTTAAAGCAATGCACTGAAACAAACTTATTTTTTACTTAGCCCGTTCACTGCAAATACAGAAATGTGGGGTCTTTTTGGTAAAAAATGATGCCCCCACCTTTAATGTCACTCTCTGGTCCCTCAGCCCCTGAAGAATGTTGGTCCCACTGCCAATAAGATCATCCATGCCACGATGGGCATTCTGCAGGGATTCATTAAACTGTAATGTTTCGTCGATCGGTATGGTGGTGTCAGAGTCCTGTAGGGGAAATGCAGGGTCTTGGTTACCTTGCCTACTCACACTCATAGATTCCAGAAAAAGAACAAACAGAAACAAACAGCTCTTGACAGGACTTCAGGGATTATGTTTTAAACAGTTTTTTATAGGGATGTTAAATCAATATTAGTATTTGAGTGAAAAAACATAGTTTAAAGAAGCCTATAGGAATCAAGTCAAAAGATGGTGCTGATTAGCTATTCAACTAAAATTAGATTTCAGAAGATTAAAGAAAAAATAAAAATAGAGAGTGTTCATAATCTTTTTATGATACAAATAAAAAAGAGTATTACAACAGAGAACAAAAAAACTGTCACAAAGGAGTCATTTGATCATTACAAGTGAAAGATTTTAGAAAGACAACAGCCATTTCTAATGACAAAAGACCTGTAAAACAATGTCTGGGAGATGACATTCTATAAACCTGTATTTACAAGATGCAATTTCTGATACTAAGGGCAAACGGACTTATCAGCCTAGTTCCCTGAAGTCTAACTCACTCATCAATGAAGGCCTTATCTAAAAAAAATAAAATATCCAGAGAAGATGCATTATCTTAAGTATTTAAAGATTTAAGCATATATCTTTAAATGGAAGTAACTGGAATAAAATTGTATAGTCTGAGTTACACAAGAGATCAGAAGATGTCATTGCTTTTGTCTTCCAAAGCCGCCTTCTTTGGGCACCACTCCACTGAGAGTCAAGATAATAATCCACAACTCCCATACTGCTTCATGAACAGGAATCATGACACTGGTGAAAGTTAAGTGTGAAAACACTGTTTTACCTGCTTACATGTATGCAGAGCAGCAAGAACTACTTAAATATGTAATTAATATTTGGGGCAGAAGACAGTTAATGCTCTACATCTGACAGTCAGCTGTAGGTTATATGCATGTGAAAACACCGAACTTGCAGTGATTATTGTAGGAAAAAAATTAATACAAGAATGACAGGCATAATCCAGTGCTGGATGCCTGCTTCAGTGTGTGTTCTGTTTATAAAGTCTGAAAGAATGAAGGATAAAAGAGCTGTTCCCAGCTGCAAGGTCAAAATTACTGGATGAAGACGACTCTAGATGGCATACACAACTCTTTGATCAAAAGCTAATAAGGCATAAAGGTTAAAAAAAGTATGTTATCTTGCAGGAATCTGCAACGCAGAAACACTTGGATTTGCATGTGAATGGCTATTCCTTAAGATATTTATTAAACTTCAAGTCAGATGAGTTCCATTTCCTTTACAAGGAGTTTGCAGTCGATTTTCATTTAGACCCAAGGCAGCAAGAAAACTGTCTAGGTAGATTTTTGTTCACAGAATCCTAGAGTGGTTTGGGTTAGAAGGGCACTTAACAATCACCTCGTTCCAACCACCCTGCCCCTGGGACACAAAAAACCACTGGATCAGGTTGCTTAAAGCACCGTGCAGCCTGGCTTTCTGTTTGCTGCTCATAGGAACGCTAGATGGCAGCATATTTTTCATTTGCTGTTAGTGTTTTTCTCCAGAAGGAAAGGCTTTAAACATATAGCCCACATCTATCTTTGAATTAAGCAAAACATTAGAACGCTGTTAGAGCTTTCAAGAGCTATTACACATTTTACAGTGACTTATTTAGTGCTTTCACACTCAGCTGACATATATAAATAGCTGGGTAAATGTCTAACCAAAATAGGTAGGCCAGTAACTCACAAACAAATCATTTTCTTATTACAGGGATATCTGACACAAATCCAAGAAAAAGGTATACTTTGGTACCTACCTCATTCAACCTTCTGAAATTGCTATATAAAATCAGGTAAAGCTGCACTGGATAAAATCGGAGCAGCGATTTCTGCAGTCTTTCATAACTGCCTCTTATTAGACCAACTTTCTTCATCAAAGACTTGTACTTTTTCATGAATTATTATTCTTTTCTATCTTTATTCCATTCACATCACCACACAGTAGTAATCTAATAGTCAAGTCTAGGTCTTGTCTGAAACTTCTCTGAAAGATAAAGGCCTCTAGGACAGAGAGATCTAAAATAAAGAATATTTACATTAGTAGTGAATGTACGTGCTAGTAACTCTTCTCGCTGTCGTTCTTGCTGCTCCCGGATGTAACGACGATGCTGAAAGTTCCTCAGAGCTGTCTGCAGATGCTGAACATCATACTTCAGCTGGTCAACTCGGCTAGACAAGATCAACAACAGGAAGACATTCCCAGGGGATAAAAATACCAATTTACGTTGCATTTTTTAATGAACAAAGGAGCATTACAAATTAACAGCAACAAATACTAAAAAATGATGGATTCTGTTTATCTAAAATATGTTATTTGATGTTAGGCTTCTATTCCAAACTTAGATCTTCTGTGCCTCGTTTTTTTCTTTTTTTGTTTTATTTTTTTTTACTCAAAGGTGATTATTTAATCACAGGCTACAGATAGAAAGTGAAGCAGAATTCTTGAGCTATTTTATACAGCCTATCCTATAGTAAGTCTCTTCAAAGTGATTATCACACACTGTTCATTTAACAAAGATTCGAACAGTTTCTATTTAATGACTCATTCATATAAAAGATTTAGCTTTCAAGTTTCATTAATTAACACCGTGTTCTTAAGTTTCAGTTTTTACAAAAGGAATCTAAAAGCCAGAGGGCAACACGGGAGACATCTCCACTGGGATAAAACAAATCATGTCCAGAACTCCACTGCTTCTGATTAAATGTTCAATGACTACAAAAAAAAAAAAAAAAGATGACTATTTCAGATACCAACCCTTATTATACAGGTGATATGAAATCCACTCCTAGTATCTACAAAGGTATTCTGGGACTAAGAATTAACAGAATAATTCTGAATGGAAAGTTGTCTAATAGTCTGTGATCCAATTGCCTGCTCAAACCAGTGCTCATTTCAGAAACCTTATTTTAGTCATCAACCTCTTGGAAAAGGGTCCAGAAGAATAACACCAACTTAAGTAATTTTAGTCCTTACCTCCACAAATACCATTAAAACAAATGCTATACAGAGTAGAAATGCTTTTAAGAATCAAAGTGTGATGTTCAACTCATCTCAGAACAGAGCCATGAGTCCAGCTCCATCACCAGACTGCAGTTAGGTGCAGGAAAGTGATTTTGCCTCTGTCCTTCAGTTCTGTTACAGCTGAGCAGAGATTTAAGTTGCATAGCAGAAAAGTTTTACTCAAATGAAAAAGTGAAGGGCTTCAATAAACTTAATGAAAATAATTAGATTACTCCATTATTGTAGCAAAGAAAGTGAACTCACAGTTTAGCATTCTGTCGTTTATTGGGAGGTTCTTTGCTGGACAGGATTTCCAAACGTTCCAAGTTGCTGAATACTTTGTCTATTCTTGCCTGAATCTCATTTTCTACTACTGCAAAGAAATAAAAAAATAAAAAAAATAAAAAATAACTAAAAGCTCTACAAATCATGAAAAGCCACTTCTTTAGTTTGAGACTCTTGCCTTCCACCGCTCCTCTGTGAATAGAACAGGAAAAATCCCTGCTCTTCTGAAATATGTAACCATATTTCCCTATCACCTCTATATATTAGGAGTTAGAAGTTGCTACATTCCCCTCCGTGGCCCCTTCCTGTTCTCTTACCAGGTTTTGCTCACAAAAGCTAACAGCCAAGATGATTTTCAAAACAATTTAAACTTATGAAAAATGTTAACAAAGAATTGCATTATCCACACCTATAGCAACAGAGTTTGACAAAGCACGGGAAGAAGAAAGACAGAAAATGGCAGACTGGACAAACAGCCCTGAAAAACAAGCCCAAATCAGGGCTCAGGAGCCCTTACACGTGGGAAAACCTGTGTAACAATTAAAACCTTAAACAATAAAAAACCTTAATAACAATTGTCTCTCTAATCATCTACTTTGCAATTGTTTCTGATAATCTGTGTGTAGAAATAGTAGAGAGATGAGAGATCAAATACTTGAACTGTTGTGAGGTGGGAAAGGCATACAATTAGGGAAAAAGAAGACTCATAGGCTTTCAGTTACTGCCATCATTGTAAAGCAAAACCTGCTTGAGCCATGACCACCTTCATTTTAAAATCACTTTTTCCACCAGTGTCACAACCCAGCATTCCACAATTTCTGGGGAGACCTCAAATCATCTGACATTCCTGTGCATAAAGGAGAGCTGAAAGGCTGAAAGTATGCAGCCTCCAGAGAATGTCCACACAATGAGTATTAGAGGACACTGAAGCACCATCCTATCTGTGCAGCCAATTCAAATCTCAGAATGCCGTGGTCAGTCCTAGAATATATAATTTTCAAATTCTACAGACACCATTTGTTCTTAGTTTATGTTTAGGCTAAGTCTTAAGAGACACTGTTTATTCTCATTTTGGTTTTAGACTAAAAAGGTACAAAGAAAAGCATTATTTATCAACTGCTACTTACTCCACAGTATCTCAGGACTTTCGAAAGAATTCCAGTCAGCAGAACCAGAAAGGAAAATGCACGTTAAACCCCTTCTGTTTGCATTTTGATCTCACACAATCAAAGAGGAACAAAGTCAAGTATATAAATATAACTCAACCAAATTGTCCAAATTCATATATCCATCATTTACTACAGCTAAACCTAACAAAAGAAAAGAAAACAGGAAAGAGCAGACAGTTTTCCAGATGATGATATTACTTGGTCACCTTATGTTTTTTCAGAGCAAGAAGGGATTCTTTGCCCAAAGTAGAGAAAGAAAAGCTGCAACAGAAGCTTTGATTACCTGGCTCTTTTTCCACCTCATCAGCCAAGGGATAATTCCTTAACCCAATAAATTCTCAAATATACAGTAATACCTAGAGAGCACATATCTGTATTTTTCTATATAAAACAGTATGTTTATTTATAGACTGCGTAAGATGATACATAATCCTACTTCTTGAAATCGTATCTCTTGCCTGAAGTACTCAGGACCTCATGCAAGTCTCTACAGGACACTGATGCAAAAAGGAGTTAATATCAGGGAATCATAGAATGGTTTCGGTTGGAAGAGACCCTTAAGATCTTCTAATTCCAACCTCCTTGCTATAGGCAGGGACACCTCCCTCTAGACCAGGTTGCTCACAGCCTCACCTAGCCTGGCTTTGGCTGCTTCCAGGAAAGGGGGCATCCACAATCTTACTGGGCAACCCGTTCCAGAGTCTCACCACCCTCACAGTAAAGAATTTCTTCCCAATATCTAGTTTAAATCTACTCTCTTCCAGTTTAAAGCTGTTTCCCATCATCCTGTTGCTCGTGCCCTTCTAAAAAGTCCATCCCCAGCTTTCCTGTAGGCCATGTTAGGTACTGGAAGGCCACTAGAAGGTCTCCCCAGAACCTTCTCTTCTCCAGGCTGAAATGCCCCAGCTTTCTCAGCCTGTCCTCATAGGAGAGGTGCTCCAACCCTCTGATCATCTTTGTGGTCCTCCTCTGGACCTGCTCCAACAGCTCCATGTCCTTCTTCTGTTGGGGGTCCCAGAACTGGATGCAGTACTCAGGTGGGGTCTCACAGGAGCAGAGCAGAAGGCTGAATCACCTCCCTTGCCCTGCTGATCAAATTCTCCTGATGCAACCCAGGACACGATTGATCTCCTGGGCTGCAAGCACACATTGCTAGCTCACATTGAGTATTTCATCAACTGACAGCCCTAAGTCCTTCTCCTCAGGGCTGCTCTCAAGCCATCTTCCATCCAGCCTGTATCTATGTTTGGGCTTGCCCCAACCCAGGTGCAGGACCTTGCACTTGGCCTTGCTGAACTTCACGAGGTTGGCATGGACCCACGCCTTAATCATACTGCTTAAATTCCTGCACATTAAATGATATTTTTCCAGAGAAACTGGACTAAGAATCTTTCTGAGATGTCTGCCAATTAGTGGATGCTTAAGGAACAGTAAAATAACAGGGCTGATATACAGTGAGATTATTCAGCTTCTGAGCTTCTAACAAAAAAGCTTTATGATGGCTGAATTTGCAACTCTTTCCACATTATATGCTTATTATACTTCCCTATATGCACCAATTTGATTCTTTTCATCTGTTTTTATTGTATGCCTCCACAGCATACTCTGACAATGAGTTCCAAAATCTCACAGAAAGAATAATACTCAGCACTGCCATATTAAGACACTTGTAAAAGCATTTACAGTAAACACTACTTCTCAATTCAAGAATTACCAAAGGAATTTGAAAACAATTATTGTTCTGTATTTTCCATCCTTTCCTACAAAACATCACCATAATCAAGTCACACAGTGAAACAGTTTTAATGCATTTCACATCATCAGTTCATCAGAGTTGAATACCAAATTAGTTCCAATAATGATTATATATTTAATCACAAAGCATACGAGGTTAAAAGTGCATGTTACATCAAATTAGTACCAGACTTTTCTGGGACTTTTCTCTCTTATTAAATACTTACAGTGTACAGACTCTTTGTCTGAAGTCTCCAGACGTCCCATGTAGGACTGGACTTCATGGACTTGTCTATGAAAAGACAAAGAGTAAAGAAACAGAAGTCAGTTAACACCCATAAAATGAAATCACTTTTCAATCAATCAGATAAGATTGACTGAATCAATCTTCAGATTTTATTACTATCAGAACATAATAGGAATTGGATACATGTTACTCAGTGCAGACAATCCATGACTAAACACATAAAAACCCAACAAATTTCTACAGTTTGAATACAGCTGTGCCTTCACTTCACATGTACCTACAAGTTTCAGCTTAAAACTAAAATCATAGTGAAAGGGCTTCTTTTCTTTCAAGAATTCCAATACAATTATAGCTCCCTTTTTTATTCAGAACTCGAAATAAGATTCTCTCTTATGACACACACTTGGCATGCTGAAAGCCATGTAAGATCTCCACCCACCCCAATAACCAAGAAGAAAAGTTAACAGATTCACAGGTCACAAATAGTGAGTACAGGAGAAGGAAGGTCTGACTGGTAGAAAAGTTGGTACAGAGGAAACCAATAAAGTGTACGTAAGTCTATATATGTACCTACATACATCATCTTTGGGGCACTGCAGGTACACATCTTGTACACATGCTGTGTCACTTCCTTCTTAAAGAAAACAGCAGCACAGCTGAAGAATCAGAGAAGAACTATATAGATTATGGAAAGTACAGAAAAGCTTTTATGCAAAAAATGAGTTTTCACTCTGGACTGATAATTATTATCTGTGAGGAGATACCCTAGAGCATAAATGACACAAAGTAAGGTGAATAAAGAATAACTTTCACTGTCTCTTAGAATATATGAATTACAGAGAACAAAATGGAAACTGAAGCAAGGCAGGATTATTGCCCTTATCAACATGGGCATGCATTTCTAGATCAACAGGATTTTCAGCTCTTCCCTGTGTGGTCTCTCTAGATCATTATTTAATAAAAACCATTAACACAGATAGCAGACAGGCACTTCTGGACTAACTGCATCCTCTGACCTGCTTCCCATGAGCTACTTCATGCAGAATCACAGAATCATAAAGGTCGGAAAAGACCTCTAAGATATCTAGTCCAACAGTCCACACATCACAAATACTGTCCATTAACCTGCATCCCAAAGTACCATATTTCTACTTTGCTCAAACACCTTTGAGACCACCACCTCTCCAGGCAGCCTGTGCAAATGCATCACCACCTTCTCTGAGAAGAAATTTTTACTGATTTCCATCCTGAACCTTCCCTGGCACAATTCCAGGCCATTCCCTCTCATCTGATCACTGTCATCTGGGAGCAGAGGAAGACCCTCACCTTGCCACAACGTCCTTTCAAGTATTTCTGGAGAGATATAAGGTCTCCTCTGAGCCTTCTCTTCTCCAAGCTGAACCAATCCACCTCCCTCAGCTGCTCCCCTTCACAGTTCCACTGTCTTTCACACCAAGCATCACATTTTCTGTCTTCCTTGTGATTTGCAATTTTCACACTGCTTAAGCCTAATCCTGCAGCAAAATCATAGAATTACAGAATGGCCTGTGTTGAAAAGGACCACAATGATCAACTGGTTTCACCCTCCTGCTACGTGCAGGGTCACCAACCAGCAGACCAGGCTGCCCAGAGCCACATCCAGCCTGGCCTTGAATGCCTCCAGGGATGAGGCATCCACAACCTCCTTGGGCAAACTTTTTTCAGTGCCTCACCACCCTCAGTGTGAAAAACTTCCTCCCAATATCCAACCTAAACCTCCCCTGTCTCAGTTTAAAACCATTCCCCTTGTCCTATCACTACCCACCCTCACAAACAGCCATTCCCCCTCCTGTTTATACGCTCCCTTCAAGTACTGAAGGCCACAGTGAGGTCTCCCCAGAGCCTTCTCTTCTCCAAGCTAAACAAGCCCAGTGCCCTCAACCTTTCCTCATAGGAGAGCTGCTCCAGCTCTCTGATCATCTTAGTGCCCTCCTCTGGACCCACTCCAAGAGCTCTACGTCCGTCCTGTGCTGGGGACTCCAGGCCTGGGCACAGTACTTTTAGATATCTACAAACCCATTTCATGCCATCCATCATGCATTTTCTAAAATAGTCTAAATGCCATCTGCTAGCCTGCACGAAAGTTCTCCACCTTAAAAATTTAAGTAAATACGTGTAAGTTAAATTTAAGCACATCTAATACGATATAATCACTTTCTCAGCGAACACTTGGTGACCCCTTTCACTAAAACCTAAAGGCCTGGTGCCGGACTGACGTGGCTAAAAGCACGTTGGGACTTTGGACATACAACCAGCCACCCCAGAGCTGCAGGATTTGCTTCGTTTTGCGACAAAACCCACCCCTGGCGGCACAGCTCCGGCCTGGCAGGGAACTCTGCCCGGACCGAGCCTTTCGCTGCCGCTCGAAGCAGCCCTCCCCACTCCCCTCAAGCAAACCACAGAGGCTGCAGTTCCTCCCCCCCAGCACCACGCGCTCGAGGCGGCCTCAGCCGCTCCCGACGGTCCGGTCCATCCCGGCCCAACGCCACACACACTTGTTGGTTTGATGGTACAGCCCCTCCATCTCCGCGGCGCTCCCCGCTCCCTTCTGACGGACACGTCGCCTCTGCTTCCGCTTAACACAACTTCCGCTTCCGCAATACGCAACTTCCGCTTCCGCCGGCCGCGGCCCCACCAGGCCTCGGCGCTGCGCCTGCGCCGCCGCGGGGGGGCGCGCTTCCCTCAGTTGATGCGTACAGCGCGTCATCAGAGTCACGGAATGGCCGGGGTTGGAGGGGCCTCAAGGATCACGAATTTCCAGCCCCCCTGCAACACTCAGGGCCACCAACCTCCACATTTCATAGCAGCCCAGGCTGCCCAGGGCCCCATCCAACCTGGCCTTGAACACCTCCAGGGATGGACGGGGCATCCACAGCCTCTCTGGGCAGCTGTTCCAGCACCTCACCACTCTCACAGCAAAGAACTTCCCCCTGACATCCAACCTCAGTCTGCCCTCCCTCAGCTTCAAACCATTTCCCCTCGTCCTGCTGTTATCTACCCTTTCCAAGAGTTGATTCCCCTCCTGTTTGTAGGAGGCTCCCTTTAGGTACAGAAAGGCTGCAATGAGCTCACCCTGCAGCCTTCTTTTCTCCAGGCTGAACAAGCCCAGCTCCCTCAGCCTGTCCTCATAGGGGGGTGCTGCAGCCCCCTGATCATCTTTGTGGTCTCCTCTGGACCCTCTCCAACAGCTGTCTTGTACTGGGGGCTCCAGACCAGAGCACAGTACTACAGAAGGAGTCTCACAAAAGCAGAGTAGAGAGGGACAATCACTTTTTTCCCCCTGATGGCCACCCCTCTTCTGATGGAGCCTAGGATCCCATTTGCTTTCCGAGCTGCAAGAGCACACTGCTGTCTCACATTCAGTTTTTCATCCCCCAGGACCCCCAGGTCCTTCTCCGTAGGGCTGCTCTCAAGGACTGCTCCTTCCAGTCTGTATATATGACTGGGATTCCTCCAGCACAAGTGTAAAACCTTGCACTTTGCTGTGTTGAACCTCATTAGATTCACCCAGGCCCATCTTTCAAGTCTGTTGAGGTCCCTCTTTATGGCATCCTTCCTTAGAGTCATAGGGTCATTAAGGCTGGGAGCGACTGCTAAGTCATCTGGGCCAACCACTGACCCATCCCCACCCATGGCCACTGATCTGAACAAGCCTGGAGAAGAGAAGGCTCCAGGGAGACCTCAGTGTGGCCTTCCAGAGCTTGAGAGGAGCGTATGAACAGGAGGAGAGCAGTTCTTTATGCAGGCAGTGATAAGAGAATGGGGAATGACTGCAGACTAAAAGAGGGAACATTTCTTACTCAGAGTGAGATGCTGGAACAGGCTGCCCAGAGCAGCTGTGACTGCCCCGTCCTTGGGATGATCTCTGGGGTTCCTTCCAACCTAAACCATTCTGTGATCCTCTGATCCTAGATCTTGCTGCCCAGAGCCCCAGCTTTGGAGGTGCCCAAGACACGACAGCTGATGAATCTCCAAAATCACCTTTAAAGGAATTCTGTTACAAACATAAGAGTTAGTGGGGTTCCTTATCATCCTGCTGAGAATATGGAAGTCCCAGATTAACAGTAGGAATTAATTGCTTTAATAAAGTTAAATTCAAGTTTTAAATCTAGGATCATAATCAGTCTTCAGTATTCTCAGCCCTATTCTGTTCTCTTTTTTTTTTTTTTTTTTTTTTTTTCACTTATGCAAAGCCTAATTATCTTTACAGCACAAATTTAGGGTACTGAAGGATGACAAATGTTGAAACCAGGAAAGATTTTAAGAAGGGAGAAGCTTAAGGTGGTCACTTTCTGTGATTCTGGGCAAAACACGACACTTAGAGACAGGAACACTGTCCAAAGTGGAGTTTCTTCTGCTGTTGCTCATTTGCAGTTAAGTGGTGCACCTGAAGGATACAATCTAATCACACGAGGACAAATTACTGAGCATTATACAGATATGAATGAGTAAAATAACAATACATCTGTAACTAATAAAGAAATCTTGTTCCTGTGTATTCCACCACCCCCCCCCCCCCCCCCCCCCCCCCGCCCCCCCCCTCCCTCTCCCCCTTTCTCCTGCCTCCTCCCTTCCTCCCCCAACCCCCCCCCCCCCCCCCCTACTCCCTTGTATCTCTGTGCTGCAGGAAACTTTCTTTGACCATTCCACCAGCAAGGCAGGCGCCTGGCAGAAGATCATCCCACTGAGTTCCTAACAACATCTCAAGCCACAGAAATCAAATCAGTCTAAAAATAAAATATCTATAAAAACATGAGCTGCTGCAGGAACAAATGCAATCAATTTTTTTTTCTCTCTCTCTTTTATCTGAGCCATTATGCCCTGTTTTCAAACACTTTCTGCAGACAGAAGCCTTGGATGGAGATAGATGCTGGGACTTCCCTCTTGGCCAAGTCTTTGAGGAGTATCACAGGAGTTCTGATGAAGTGGCAAGTGCTGAAAAGCTGGACTTAATTTCTGTTTTTTTCTGAATAACTTTACTTTTTGACAGAGGGAAAAAAAGACAGCAACAACAACAACAAAACATGTTGCAAGTCTGTTCTGTTCTCATCAGACTTCAGGTTCTTCCAGGAAGAGTCCTTCAGCAAATTGGCTCATTTAGACACAACAGCCAGAAGCACAGAGAGAAAAAAAAAAAAAAAAAAAAGGGTTTTGTTCAAGGAAAGCCTCTGTATTGTAAACAGGATAAAAGGGGATGGAAAGAGACACTTATCACTGTCTTGATGTGTCCCCAGGTCATTCCTGTGTAGCATCTACAGGAGAAAAAGAATTCCATATACACTGCTCTCTTAGAAACTCCCAACTGGGGATTTTCTCTATCAAAGAGTTTACAGACATGAGGTGTTCAAACAGCCATCGGTGCTCTCCTCACTCTGTTTGGCTTGTAGTTTGCCTTGCAGCTCCAAAAGGATGGATTCTTGTACAATCCCCTTTGTTCTGCTTATAGCAGTTTGCTTTCCCCTTCTCCCTCTGAAGGAAAAGCTCTGATGTTCTGTTTAAAACCAGACCCTAATAACAGGTCTCTCTCTAAGCATGATTTCAAATACGCATAGAAACTCTCACCTTCCCCCTCCTCTATCCCTCCTTCCCTCTCACCAGCTCTTTGCATGCTGTCTTGATACTAATAACCGTGGCTTTAAAAACAAAGGAGTGCCAAACCCGAGGGCATGCTGCAGGAGCAAGACATTGAGATTAATTCTTGCTGTAGACTCCTTGCTTAGCCCAGCTGCAGGCCATGGAGGCTGCATGTCCCAACTTTGACAGCTTCTCTGACATAAGCCAGACCTCACAGCACGCCTTGCAGCATTCTGAGATGGTGGAAGTGGAGAAAAAGAGAGGAGAGACATGACAAGAATGTCAGAGGCTCATCTATCAAATTTCTTCAACTGTTGGGTGATGTGCTGGTTGCATATCTTCCTTTAAAGACACACTGCATGTCCTTCTATCTTTCCAAATTAAGAATATTTCTATAGAACTTCTAACGCAGTTTTCAGACTGATTCATGGCCATGAATTCAGGATGTTACAGGTCCAGACATAGTGACATGAAGTCACAAATACTTGGGTCATCATTCCCTTGTTCATAAACTTAGAATTATAGAATCTTCAAGGTTGGAAAAGACCTCTAAGATCATCCAGTCCAACTGTCCACCTACTACCAATACTGTCAAAGAAACCATATTCCCAAGTGCCACATCTCTGCAGTTCTTGAACACTTCCAGGGTCGTTAACTCCACCACCTCCCTGGGCAGCCTTTGCCAATGCATCACCACTCTTTTGGAGAAGAAGTTCTTCCTAATATATTAATATTCAGCATGGGCTGAAAATAGGAATTCCCTTCCACCATTGGATAGTGCTGAGAATCATTCTGGCAAGACTCTAAGCATGGATTACAAAAAGGAAATGCCCTTTTGTTGCTGTCCTCTGCCAACACGACCCTTGTCATTCAACTGGAAAGTGAAATAGAATTTGTGGGAGACTCTGCAGCACAGAAGAGATGCTATGCTCAGCAAAAGATGAACCTAAATGCTTGACGCATTTGGTGAAAAAAATAATGTTTCCTAACAAAATTTTAAAGGAATTTCCATTTTCTGAAAAATTAGGGTGTTGAGAGGCAGGCAAAGAAACTTTCAAAGAGAAACAATTACTGTGGGATCAAATTTTTAGTTTTTAACAACTCCAATTTCTACAGTTCATCCTGTGACTATCTGGGCTAATCTAACTACTTTCCTAATGTTTGGAAGACTCACAAGATTTCCAATAGTATTTTGTATAAAAAATTATCCTCATTGGAACACATAGTCTTTGAAAAAACATGTCATCCAACAGTCCATCTACCAGAAGTTATTTAATCTTAGACCAAAGTGTACTATTATGATTTGGTATGTGATTATGTCTTCATAACGATGCCCCATGCTCACCTTTCATTGATTTGAGCTACCTCAACATTTAAAAACCCTAAAAATTATTTTGATCCTTTCATAAACTGTGGATGTATCGTTCAAAAAACCCTGCAGATTGATACTACAAAAGAAGGACTCCAGGCTTTGTGTAGCATGGACAGTTTTTGCATCACTTCAGCTTTCTTGACAGCAGAAGCAGGCCAGGCACTGGCACAGATGTCTCCTTGGAAGTGAGGTAACCCCAGCAGTGCAGTGGTATTTGCCTGCTTGCCAGGATGGCTGCAGGGAGAGGGAAGAGTTGATGCCTATTGCATCACTGTGTTGCAGATCTTATCTCCAGTGATAAGCCTGGCCCTGTTGTACTGCTCTGTTCACTATCCTGAGCTATCTGTTAGCCTGCTGCTTCCATTTCAAAGTCAAAGAAGGCCTTGTTTTTCCTAAAGCTTATCTAACTGCTCTGACCACTCCAGTTCATCTAATTGAAATAAAGTCTACATCCAGCAGCCAGCCTTGCACCCCTCCTCTTAAAATTTAGTCTTCTTTCAGGTTCAGTTCCATTTGCCCACTCCAGTCATTGTCTGTGTTGGCAGCAGGTTTGTATTTGCCATAGTACAAGGCAGGTTTATTTAGCAACAAAAGAGATCTGCAAAACATTACCTACCAGTTTTCCCTGGTTGGAAAAAA